TAAAAAAAATCATATTTTTAACTTAAATAGAACAAAAGTTAAGAATTTTTAAAAGTTAGTCTCGAAACCAAAAATTACCAAAACTGTCTCTAACATACAATATTAATTTCTGTGAGTAAATTCACGATTCTGCATCGGTATGGTCATTTATAGTAAATAATTAAATTTTAAGTCTTTTCTAGGCTTCGTAGTAACTGACTTAAACATTCTTGAAATGTTGTTTAAACTTGTTGTAAACTTTTTGTAATCTTTTTGGTCTAGGCTATGAATTAAGAAAACAAAAACTCGTAAGAAATTGACAGTATTACTATAAGATGTCAAGCCTAGAGACCTAAAATCTTTGTAATGAAACAAAAAATCATCTAATAATACTCATAGTTGGGTTGGACGTTAATGAATACAAATCGCATTTAAAAAGTTAAAGAAAATTATTAATAATTGTTAGAATATTCAATATTCTCATTAAAATAACGATAAATAATAATTTTCTTAGAATTAATAAAGATACTTTTATTTTTTGAGTTTCTTAACACCATAAACAAGTTCATAGTTCATGATACAGCTATTTTTCTGCTTGGTGTTATTAAGTATTAAGTAGAAGGAAAAGTAACAAGCACCCAGAAAATAAACTCGTTTAAAGTTTACTCCCTGGTAAAAAGCAAGGGTTTTAAACAATCAGAATAAAAGTTATTATTTTGAATTTACTTTTGCGTTTACGCGATACTTTTTCTTCATTTGTCTAGAGCAGTCTTAGGGAGAAGCTTAAGCTACCATTCGATGTAGCCTACCACATAAAGGTGCTGAAAGCTCTAAACAGTTAACTGTCACAAACAATAGCATGTTGAAACTATCAACAGCTATATCAAAGATAAAAGTTCACTCGTAACCTAGTATTTACAACTCACTATTGTCAAACTGTCAAATGCAATTGACTATAACTACATAAAGCTGACAAACATTTCTTAAAACTGGATATAATTGGTGGCATGTAACAGCATCTTAGTCAATTCAAAATAAATCATTCTAAAATTAAACGTTTGCTTTCTAATTTTAGGATTAAGAATGAAATGCAATCACTTAGTTAAAAATAACGTTGACTGATGAATTGAAAAGTGTTTCAAATTGCTTCCTCAGCTCAAAGAGAGTAAAGTACGTAGAGACTGGTAAAATGTTTTTTTTTTCAAATGCAACTTTTTAACTAATATTTATGATTTGTATGACAGAGGGGAGAAAGCTTTACAGCTATTATGTGCTCAGTCACCATACTAAGTTTTTTTTCCAAGTTTTCTATCCTTTCGAATGTGAAGGACTAAAAATTGACAAGGACTTAAAAATTATAGCGGTTTTTAATTGCACCTATCTTCATTGATAAATCATATACTTTGACTTAATAGGCATTAGTAAGAAATATATTTTTTGACTTTATGGGTATCAGTGAAAAACTTTTGACGTAATATATTCCAGTCAATACTTTTGATGTATTTATTATACGAAGTATTACCAAATTGTACAGTTATTATTTTAATTTAATGTGTCACATAATTCAATTTGAAATTGGCTTGATAACATGAAAATTCAAGTACATAACAGAAAATTTTCACCATACATAATTTTTATAACGAAATCGCATAGAAGATTGTGCTTGTTCATGCAATATATCGTTTCTAGTTTTAACATGCAAGAAATTACAAAATTAAATACTTAAGGTAGGAATTGGCAAGTAATAGCACTATAATTAATACGCATGAAAAGGGTTCTTTTGATATGCGTTACACCTATAATTTTTATTTTTTATTTTCATCCAAATAATTGTAGTGTGAATACTGTAAGTAGAATTTGTTTCTCAGAGGAAGAGTAGAGGAAAATAAAAAAGAATAATCTACGAAAGCAATAAAGTAGAAATAAAGATGAATATTGTATTTCAAGGCCTTAGCATAGCAATGAATAACAAGGATAAGAGTATTGAATTTATTGATAAGACATTGAAAATAACAGCAGTCTAGGAGAAAAGTGTGTTAGAGATAAAAAGAACCACTAATTTTGTAGTTTTTAGATTAGGCATCTTAGGTAAGAGAAAGAGAGTACAAAAAAAATTGATAGGAACTAACGTACGTATTTAAAATGTATTGATCTATAAGGAGACGAAATATAAGAAACGATCCACAAGGAAGTGTGAATCTAAAAAAGGCCCTGATAAAGTATCATTTAACAACAAATATTACTCATGGTAAGATGGAGTGAAAAAAAAATTGAAACAGTAAAAATAAAAAATAAAAAAAGATAAGACTTTAGGAACCTAAGAAAATGAAATCCGAGATAGCAACAATACTGTAAAGATATTATTCAGCCAGACCTAAAATATACCAATATGAAAATTGTGATGTATTTTGAAATACAAATTATGAAACTTAGACAAACAGAAACATTTTTTTTTCAAATACAGCGGAGGTTAAAAGTAATAATAAAGAATGGTGGTATCTCTGCTGCTGAGGCGTTTGTATTAGTTAAATAGCTACATAAAAAGCAATCAAAGCTACAATATTCTTTAGACTATCGATCAGAAAAAATCAAAAATAAAATTCGGATACTAGAAAAAAAAATAATAATCTAAAACGTAACATAAATACTTTTTTAATATCGAAGATTGCTACGATAGCCGATGAAGTGTAGGATAGATGCAAATTAACAATATCATTATTTCCTTCATTGTAGAGATTGATTATGATAAGCCAATAAAAAGCAACTAATAAAATTGATGTCTACAATAAACAGTATTGTGATAATTATAGTCCAAAATATCTATTTGGTGAAAAAGTACAAATTTTAGCAGAGATATCGAACTTAAACAAAATCGTTATAGACCTTGTGACCTCGAAATTTAGTTTTAGCATGCCAAAAAAATTAAATAAAATTAACTTACTAAGAGGACAAAAAATGTATAAATAACTTTTTTTTAGTACGAATACTGTAAGCATATTTTAACGGTCGGAAAAATTCGCTTGATAAAACAAGAATGCGCTCCATAAAAGTTAAAAAAAAAATTCTGCCAAAGGTTAAGAAAGTGTTAGATTCCGCATTCTTATTTCACAAACTAAATTTTTTTTGTATTTCCTGAGAAATGGTATTAAATAATCTCAATTAAGATGGTTTTATGATAGCTATGTTAATATAGTGAAATAAAAATATCAGATTGGCCAAATAATAAGAAATACTCCACCAAAAAAAATATCGTCGACTAGGTAAGCGGGAGAGTAACGGATGTCTGTCTGTGGCAACATCTGAAAATTGTTGATTAGATGTTTAAAAAATTCACAAACGTGATAAATCATGTTTTTTTTAAATTACTAATAAAACTTGAGACTGTGTGAAAAAATGTTTGAAAAAAAAAACTTCGTAAAAAGACAAAACTCCGCAAAAATTTTTAGAAAGTTTATGAAAGCGTGCATAAGCGTGGAAACGTATAAAGAAGTTTAGTACTTAGTACATTACTATAATTAATTTTTGAGAAAATCAGAAAAGACAATTACGTCACTACTATCGGTGCCAAAAATAAAAACAGTAAAACAAACTTATTCCTTAGCGTTTTGTGTAAAGTAGGAAATCTATATGATTGAGTAAAACTTGACAAAAGGACTAAAAGTCGTTTCAAAGATAAAAACTATTTAATTCAAATAAATTTAGAACAAAAATTTCAAACTTTACAAGCATGTGATAAAAATTTTGATCTTTAAAATACAGAATCACGATCTGGCAATGTGCATCAGATGATTCACGACAGTAACAGCGAAAGTAAGGTCATAATTGTATTAAAGTGAGAGTTACTACGTACGTAAGTGATACAAACTCGCCCACAACTTATAATTGGTGACCAGACATTTGAATTCCATGTTTTGTTTTTTTTCTATAAATGTACACAAAAAATAACTTAATTTAACCATAGTACAATTCAAAACTATCATTTATTTTTTATTTTACACTCAACGGATTTGTGACGTTGAGTATATTGCTATTACCTTGCAAGCAATCTCTAAGGTACTTTGTGCGTCAAAAACATGGTCCTAATATGTTGAATGCAAGGCAAGTGTTGAATCTATTACCTAGATTAGCTCGAACATGAAACGCAGAGCAGGCTGAGTGATGACCAGCTTTGCGCTTGACCCATTTCCTTACTTTCCTTTCTATCGTTTCTGAAAACACTGCTGGCCTTAAGGTGGATCCATTAGGAGCATATTTTCAACTAATTGACTCAGTTAACGGGCTGAGCACAGAGCGTAATCTATGAACTGAACGTTAAGCCGTTCTATGCATCTATGAGGAGTCATTGGCTGTTACTAAATAATGATTAATAATATTCTCAACTCTCACAGAACTAAAGTTTTACAACTATGACTTTTCCATACCAAAGAATAGAAAAAAAGAAAAAAATAATTCAAATAAATCTAATTTTTACTTATTTTTAGGAATAAAGCCCAGAATTATTGCTGTTTTTGTTTTTTTTTTGATTACTTTATTCTATTCAAATTGACAGTTTTTACCAGAAATTACTGTTTTTAATATTAAACGCGCTAAAAAGATGAATGAAATATAGAATACTAAGCGGAATACTTGATGAAATAATTAATTATTAAAATTTGACTGATTCAAAACTTAGACCATAAAAGCCTTATATTCAAAAACTTTTATAAAAATATTCGTTACAAAAATTTTAACTACGAAACATACATTGAAACAAAATTTTTTTTAATATACTTTTCACTTTTTATCGTTCTTATGTAGTACTTTTACTTTTAATAATAATAGTAACAACTAATTTTGGATCGACTTTTTAAGAGACAAATTTATTTCTCTGTTCAAAGGTAGAATTATGTTTTTTGAAGGCAAAAACAGTTATAAGGAGTTTTGTACAGTAAATTTATACTACTTTATAAGAAAATTAAAGTCATCAATAAATCAGGCTTAATGATAATAATTACTTGTGATGTTTAAATATTTTTTCTTACCCCTTTTACTTTTTTGTCACATCGAATGCTCGTAACGGTACTTTCTATTTCATGTGACAAATTTGTTTCATTTTCTGAAAATGTTGTTATTCGTGTTAAATGAGAATTTTTTATTTCTGCATCATAATCAATTGAATTTGAACTCGTTGGTGTTAAATTAAGAATATCTGCTTCAACTTTTTTACTATCTACATTAAGTAATTTTAATTCTTTTTCACTATCACTCCACTTATGCTTGTATAAAGCATGCCTTTTGTTTATGCTAGCTGCCCCTGTCGAACGCGTTTTAAAAATACTCCCTTTTTTCGTTATAGTCGGTTTTATGGTGGTTTTATTTTTTGTCATTATAGAAGGTTCTGATCTTGACGTAAGACACTGATTTTGAGTTCGCGAATCACTGTGTTCATTATTACTAGCACTTTCACTATCGTCACTACTAGAAGACCATTCATTATCTACATTTTTTGTCTTATCTTCAGCATTATTACCTAAAGATACTAACTCAGTTTCATTAATTTTTATGATCTCTGTAAGAGGAGTAATATTTCTTTCATCCACATTTTCGCAATCACTGTGAGCATTTACATATGAATTGTTATAAACTTCATTATTAATTCGTGCACTGATACGGTCGGTGGGTCCAAAACCTTGATTCAATGCATCATGATAATTTTCTTCAACTAATTCATTTTTTTGTTCTACATCTTTTGTTTTAGGTAAAGATTTTTCAGAATTTCTTAAATCTTTATCAACTTTATTACTTTTACCATGGATGCTTCTAGTCTTTATGACGTCATAATGAGAATTAAATGTTTCTTCCGAATCTGTAACAGACTTTCTTAGAGTTAAAGACAGACCAGAGTTTTCAGGATTACTTGTGGAGGTCGAATTTGGAATCACATCATATTTCAAATTTTTTGATCTATTTCGTGTAGCTCTCAGATCAAATTTAACAGGTAATTGAGACAAGTTGCGTGATTCATACCGGAAAATATGATCTGCCTGAGTATTTGATCCAATTGTATTATTCATTTCTGGTATAGTTGAAATTTTTGAAACTTGGTAAGATTCAGTATCAGGTTCGTCTGAACAAATAAGTTTAGCTGTTCCTTTGCATATCCTCAAAACAATGGGAGGTTTAGTTTCTTCACGGCCAGGGAGTTCTAAAATTGAACTAACAGCATTTGATTTATCTCTTTTGCAATACAACCTTTCGGTTGAACATGTTTTGTCATAATCTTGATCAACAGATTCACTAAACTTTGCAGTGGATTGAGTTCGTTCAGTGTTTGATGATGCGTTTCGACTTTTAAAAAATTTTTTTGGTTTATTGCTATCAGAAGTGTGTTCTTTTTTACTTTGTGGTATTATATCTTTGTCGTGAGTCTTTTGATTTACATATTCGAGCTTTAAACGTTTTGTTGCATAAGTTCCTCTAATATCGCTCGATCGTCTTTCTGTAAAAAAAAAGAATTTAATGTCGTTTATTTTTAAATTGACATTTATAAGATATCAATTTTAGAAATGCATTTATGTACCTACAAAAAAGAAAAAAACTTTAATAAAATTAAATTATGTACAACTCTATATAACATTGCACATAAGACTATCTTTAGCCCACAATAACCCTATTTAAAATTTTTATTGCATTCAAGATTAGGAAAACAGCTTAGTAGTGGTAAGTCAATCTATTTCTATCTAGAAATAACAAAAGTACAGTAACAGTTATAAAAAAAGAAGAGATTTTTGACGCATATTTTCCCTAGCAAATTTATTGAAAACCAAAAAAATACTGAAATCACCCATTTGTAGATACTTATTTAAAAAATTCAATGGAGTGTGTAAAAACGCTAAAGCTAAAATATAATTGACTTTGAAAATTAAATGCTTTGTACTAAAAATTTTTTACAGTCAGAAACTTTTTTGAAAAATAGAGGAATATAAAGTTGAGTCCAAGAATCAAGGCCAAATAAATTTTTCGCGAGATAGAACGATGAAAATCGAATAACCCTATAAGAACTTATCAAAAGCTGTAAACAAAAGTGTCCTTTATGTAAAAATATATAGCAACTTGGGTTGTTAAATTAACAGATTTACTTATCACAAGAGTTAGTTACATCACAGTTTAATCACACCTTTTTATTGCAATTTTTATTTGGCCAGCTTTCTAATTCCAACTTACTTTTATTTTACATGTTATCTTATTAATTCATGAGGATGATCAGTGTGCAAGCTAAAGGTAGTACTGTCGTATATTAATTGATTTACAAGATTTTGATAGAATTAAACATATTCTATTGTTAGTCTCCAAAAATAATCTAGCTATATTTTTGTGGATCTAGAGTACGTAGGAAAAAAGTTATGGGCATTTTATCACTCATCAGTTAAACACCTAATCTAATGGAAAATGGCGGTTTATTTCGTATTTCAAAAAACTGATCTACAAGATATTTACAAAAGTTTAGGAAGAAGACACAAAACACACAAATTACATTTTAGTCACCTTAACATACGTATTTGGTGCCTGTGAGATCTTTCATAAGCGATTGAATAAATAAAGTCAAGAGGTTAAGCACGAGTATTGCAACTACCTCTCTCCGCCCTCAGGCCGCACTTTTCTTATGTGTAGGATGCATAGGCAAGGCATATTAAGAAGCTGTGTGTATACTTCAAACTATTTGTTTCGACACGTACTATTATCTTAAAATAAAAAAAAACTATTTTCTTGATAATAACTAATAAACCACTCATACAACTTCTTTGTTACTAACAATACTTTAGTAAAAATAGGAAAAATCTATTTCGTCATAGTATTTTTATAATATATAACGATCAACTCATTTATACTATTTGCATTGCACTTTTGACAAATCCAAGCAAGCCGTCTTATGCATTGAGAAGGAGAAAACAATTTGAGAAAATCAAAGAAAATTTAGACATATAATTATATAATGTAAGTCAAAATCAAATGCGAATGCGATAGCATGCTGTTATCGAAAAAAAAAATTAAATTGGCTATGCCGTTCACTTCCTATTTTTTACCTCCCATGTAAAAGTATTTGTAATATTTAATTTATACTATGAGAAACTAGATACCTTAAAGAATGTTCTGTCAATTTTTAAACAGATTATCCATACACTAATGAGTACTGGCGAGTTGAACACAATAGTCAGGTAAAGTTAGCAAATCCAGTACATGAAATTGCAAACTATACTTAAAATTTTTCTTGAGATAATAACAATATATATAACATTTCAAGTTTGAACATCGATCCTAATAGGGCAAGATGGTTTAAAAAATGGTAAAAATCATTAGTGACTTTTTTGCGATTTACGAAAAAAGTATGCTTTTGACAAATAAAGTGTCATGAAATAAAAAAAGCGTAATAAAAATACGAATTTAGTGAGTTTTCTTGAGCTCTGATCAGTTTAGTAGTTTTTGAGTAAATTGCGAAGAACCACTTTTTTGAGCCATTTTTTCGAAATTCCATAACTTTTGTTCTGTTGCATATTAATACTTGAATCTTTGACTAAATATGTATTTTATAAGCCTCAATAGTCATACAAAAGTTTAGCAAAATTAATGTTACACTTTTTAATAAGCTTTAAAAAAAACCGAAAAACAGTCTTTCCGAAAAATGGCCGTAAAAAAGTTTGCGGTCAACGTAGACCAATTTTTAAACGTATTTCAGTTAATCGATAGTTGCTCTACAACATCCTGAAATTCCTTACTATTATACCCAGCCAAAGTGTGAAAATAACGGATTTTAAAAAAGGGAGCTTCCACTGTCCGGTGGTGGGGGGCCGCTGAGCTCGAAATGCGGCTACATGTAAAATTCCACAAAATTTTAACTAAATTTTTTTTTTAATTTATTATTATTATACTTGCCTTTTTTGTTTAAAAACGTAAAGAAATAAAAAAAAAATTAAGTCAAAATTTTGCAGAATTTTCCCTATAACCCATTTCGAGCTCAGCAGCCCATCACCACCGGACTATGGAAGCTTCCTTTTTTTTAAATCCCACACTGATTCTTTCTTTTCATTATACGGAACAGCTGTTGTCTTTACATCAATATTTTTGCCTTTTTTATTGAACTCGGTCTTCTGTCATTGTATGCTGAGTGTATAACAATATTCATAATGTGTGCGCTTAGCCTTGTATTCCAATTACGTTAGAAATTGCCGTAAATTAGGAATTTGCTTGATACTACTTTACATAAAGTGCTGTTTCACATGTAATGCAATACATTTGGAATTTTAGATTACATTTTTTTACGTAGAGTTTTATTCTACAGCTTTACATATATTTATTTGTTTATTCATTTATGATTAAAAAAGACTTTTTACACAAATTTCTTGTTATCATGTATTAAGGGGAAAAGAAAGTTCTTCCTTATCTTCGTACTACAGACTGAGCCCCCGACATAATCGAACGACTCTTAGCGCTCATAGCAACTTGTTTTTTTTTTGGTTTTGATCAAGTATTGTGATTTACGGTAATTTTTCCTGATACAACATTCTTGTAATCTTATATGATTGATGTTAAATTTATTTATCCATTACACTTGTAACTTACCACGAACTCATCACGGGGTATTTAGAGAAATAGAAAATTTTTGTTGTCCCCGTCCTTTGGATTGCACCTCGCAAACAGTCTAGCGACTCCCGGCTACTTATATTCTTGTTGATGTATAACCTACTTGACCTACTGACTTTCTTATTAATTTATTTCATGTATTGTGATCAACGATAATTCTATCTAATACAATATATTCGTAATTTTACATGTGTTGGATTTTTATTTGTTTATCCATTATTTTTATGATTGGTAAGTTACTGTTAATGATTTTTTTTTTTTTTACATAAATATAAACTTGACATACTTTTTTCGTCTTTACATATTGAAAAATAGTTATTTACGTAACAAGTGCGGAAAAGACGATTTCCCGCACGAGTATTGATTGACTCACATGAGTGCCGGAGTTGACGGGAACGAGTACCAGTTGAGAACACGAGTGCGTAGCACGAGTGTGATCGCAAGGTACGAGTTACCGTCACCGGCCACGAGTGCGGGTCTATCACACGAGTGCGGGAAATCGTCCCGCACGAGTTGCGTACAAGTTTTTTCGCAATGTGTAAGGAAAATAGGTACAAAATAGGTTTGAATTTTGATTTTCAGTGTGTAGCAAAATTTTTTCCGGTGTGTGGCAAAACCTTTTCCACACACCTTTTCCGCACACTGTGCGGCAAAAACCTTTGCCGCACACTTTTTCCACACACTGTGCAACAAAAACCTTTGCCACACACCTTTGTCACACACTATGTGGGAAAATCGATTTTCCACACTAATACCAGTGCGGAAAACACCCATTTTCCGCACACTATTGCGAAAAAAATTTTTTTTTTAAATTCTCTCCCTATGGACTGCGGTCTTCCTCATTTCGTAATAAATTGTAATCATGTGTCGTGGTCAGCGGTAATTCTATCAGGCGTCTGGAGTGCTCCAGTCACCGCTCTGCTCAAGGTTGTACTATTGGCTCGCTTTGAACTGCTGTCAAATCTCGCACTTCTTTTGGACTTCTTTGCTCACCTGCAATTATTCTGTAACACATTATTAGTAGGGCCTCTCGATGGAGAAGGTACTTGTATATAAGAAAAAGAAGTCCCATTCCTGCAGTTATTAACCTTGCCATTAAATATGCAAGCCATTTGAATTTTTTTCGCGATTGTTGAATTTCAGCGAGCGCGGGGGCCTTTTCAATAATTTTGCGCAAGGGTGTTCCATCAGCTAGTGGGTAACTTATAGTGTGTCCTCGCCTAATAATTAGCTCAAGTTCTTTGAGTGACAAGAGCATGTTGACACCATCTTGGATCCCCTTATCTTTTAACGTTTCGTTAATTCTTTTAAGATCTCATTGATATTTATCGTAGCCATTCCAAAGTAGGTAGTATTTGGCCTCTCATCAACGTTTGACGGACTGATATGCAAACTTTCATGTTGTGAGAAGCACATCCTGTATTAAGTCGTAGAGCGCACAAGCTTTTTAGTGAAATTGTTCTATGGTTCAAGCCCTAGCACTCTATAAACAGCGACTCCTCTTGTCCTGCTGTAAAAACTTAAAGGTTTGGTTTATGGAATCAGGCCCAGTACGTGTCTCACAGTTCCACGACTGTAACCGTATATTCTTTTTAATTGCTTATGCTATGTTGTACTATGAGCCTTGCTTCGTAAGAATCGTGTTACCTTTTCTCTCTTATTGATTCCGTATGTTCGCAGGTGAATGACTAGCGCAGTTTCTTACATCTTATAACTTGGAGAGCCGTTATTGCCATGTATGTATTGATAACCCTTATTAATGGCCATATATTCATGTTCTGGCTATATGTAAGCATAAGTATTCAAACTATTAAGGCTTTTCTGCTTTATTGGCAAAGCAAAATTCTGTTTAGATCAGCG